CTCACCTTCCAGAGGTCACTCCCAAGACCTACCACAAGAGATTCCAGATTATTTGAAAATGGGAGGGTGTAAGTTATACTGAAACTATGCACAAATTGAATGACTTTTTGAATAAGTAGATTAAGCAAGTGGAGGTGGAGGGTATGGATGTAGTTCTGAACATTACTACTCTTAAACAACTCTATAATATGTTTAGCCAAAATTTAAAAGAGGCAGCTTAGAGAAGGAAGCCCAAGAGCACTGCAGAGGCTACAGAAGAGGCTGATCTGTACATGAAAGCCAAAGCAGACGTCGTTTCTGTCTCTAAAACCAAGAGTGGGGAGTGAATGGAATGCCCCTAGCAGGGCTGCAGGAGGAAAGAGGGATGGTGGTAAACCTATAAGCAACCAGGCAGTTTTTGTGGTTCCCAAGACTAGTAGTAAACTCTCAGGGGAAAGGCAGAACCCTTGGAAATGTTTTAGGAGGAAAGACAAATGTCAACCACAGGCAGTAGGAGCAAAAGATGGTGGGGTAGGGGGAACCCTCACTAAGGGTGGTGGGGTGTAGGGGATCCTCCCACTACAGCAGGAACTTCCCTCAGGGGATCTGGAGCACCTAAAAATGCCAAGGTAAATGACAGTAAGTGTTTGAGATGGAGGGATTCAAAAGCCCAAGTTTCTATAATGAGAAGGACTGACAGATCATATTATCCCAGAAAAGGAGTTAAATTCCATGTTTCTGGGAGGAATAAGAATCTGGCTCATGGCAGCCTGGGTTTTGCTAGGATGAGAGAGGAGCACTGATCCACTTAAAGTTAGGGGTTGCCAAAAACTTGCATGTGGATGTACTTAGGGGGAACACTATAAATAAACCACCCACATGGTGAGTGCTATCACTTACTATGGCAGACTCAAACTCTTGAGTTTGATAGTGTCAGCACCCAGCAGACTGCTCTCAGCTCTCAGGCAGTCCATAAAATTAACCCTACAGGCTAAAAACCATTGGTCCTCTGACTGAGAACACCATGGTGCAGTTGCAAACCAAGCAACGTTTAACACTGGAGTAGGAAGTAAATTCCTCTCCAAAAGATTTGAAAGCTGTGACCCTGAGTTCTGGCCCAGAGAGGCAGAATGATGAGAGGTTTCCTGAAGAAAGTGGGAGCATTGGGAGGGAGACTCCAGAACAGCAGGTGGGAAGACTCAGGGGAGAGGCATGAAGTGATGGTGGTACCAGCAAAGAATGATGCAGAACTACTGCAGCAGGAGCAAGACTTCTAATGAATGTATGGGCAGCACAAACTACCTATATTCGTGCTTGGAGGTGGTGGGAGTGGAGTTAATTAGAGTGGCTCCCAGACAGCTGCTCCAATTAAAACAGCTCACCATCACATGTATTAAGCCCCCCTGTGCTTCAAAATGGCCACAGAACACACTTTAACTAAAGCTCATTGGATAAGGTTTAGTTAAAGCCCCACCATAGCCATTTTGAAATGTGGGGAGCAGGGCTTAATACATATGACAGCGGGGCGAGGCTGGAGCATTCTAATTAGAACAAAGCTTAATTGAGTCTGCTCTAACATGCTCTAATTAGAACATGAAAGAGCATGTCTATAGGCAGCCACAGAGACTAACATAAAACCAGCCACTGGTTGTGGCCTAGTGATTCAAAATGATTTAAAAGTTTATCCTGATAAGAGGACCACTGTGAACATGGTTTGCAAAAAAGGTGCCACCCTCACCTAACTGTTCTAGCAAGACAAGGGGAAATGTTTTCTCAGAGCAGCAGATTGCAGGAGAGATTGGAATCAGACTCAGAAATAGAGATAAGAGTTGTGCCACAGGATCACCAACAGGTGTTTGCAGGTGAATGCAATCCCTTGAATGAAACAGTTTGAAAAGATCATCACAGAGCTGGAGTATCAAACTTATCTGGCATTGCAGACCAGATGAATGGGGCAGGACTGGTCCACAGGCCACAGGAATAGTGCAGGGCTGGCCCACAGGCCTGATCAGGCCTACAGACCTCTTCTTCCAGTATGCCAGCCCAGGGGAGATGCCAGGTGCAGCGCAGGTCCTTGACTGTCTGGAACAGGTGCTGTGTGCAGTGTAGGAGAGGGAGCCACAGATGCTTGATCTGGCACATGGAGTTCCCATGGACCCTCACCCCTCGTATGCTAGATCCTGCATGCACTCTGGCCAGTTCAGCACTGTGCCGCACACAATACCTACTCTGGGATTTATGCTGCACACAATGCCCACCTTGGACTGATCAGAGTAGGGCCATCTGCAAATTGGCCAGAGTGGGAGTTGCATCCAGCATGCAGATGGGGGTCTGGACTGGCAAGTCCTGGAGTGGGAGCCGAGTGCAGTGCATGTCCCAGACCCAGCATTTGGGTCCACTCAAGACCTTGGGCCAACACCAGAGGACTGGATGAGGTAGCACGAGAGGCTGGATCTGGCCTTTGGGCTTTATCTTTGACACACTTATCATAAAGACGAAGAGCCCCAGCACAGCAAGGCTGACTCTGTAAGGGTGACAGAGGGAAACATAACATTGCTACACCTAATTCATATTACATGCCTTGAGTGAACAATTCACTTGACTTCAAGGGGTACCAGGAAACCTCTCGAGGTGATGATGCCACAAGAACCTTGTGGATCAGGACTCATTTAGCTAAGATGTTCACATTCACTGGTTTGTTTTAAAATCCATTGTAAGGCCTGCTCATTTCATCTTTGTTTCTGTTCTTTGGGCCCCATTCTTTATTACATTAGTCTTTTTAAATTTGTTAAATCCCTTTCTAACCTTGTTTCTATATTTCCCGTGCATTATCCACTTTGGGGTCTTGATTTCTTCAAATCCAAAACTTTTATTGTGGATGTTTTAGGAGTTTGTAGTGCTTATTCTTTTCCTTGCTGTGTACATAGGACTCTTCTATTTTAAAATATTAAATTCCTGCACTTAATTCAGGTGTCATAGTCCAAATAACCCTAGATTTGCAAGACGCTGCCTGTTTGAATAGCTGCTCTTTGACCTGGCCTCTTTGTCCATGACATTATGCCATCCACCCAAAAGAAGCCTACCACTGTTCTATCCTAGCTGTCAGCTGTTTATCAATTTAAAAGCCTTTAAATAGCTACTGAAGATCAAATATCAATGTCACAATCTGGTAGTATAAACTTCTGCCTTTCATTAAAGCCGATATTGTTACTAAAACTTATTGCAGATCCAAAACAAAGCAACATTTCTTCCAAATGCTTAAAAAGTGTTGCTATCTGCAATTAGGTCCAGCTGGTTTTTCAAATGATAGAATTATTACCAGTCTCCTGCAATTCCTTTACCTACAAGCACTTTTAGGTCTCTCTTTTATAAACAAGAATGAGCACATTTTAGTCCACAAGCCCATAATCTGTTTGTATCGCACAGTGGTTCTAATGCCTTGGAGTCCATGCTCTACCCCCTTTTAAGTGGTACCTATTAGTAAAGGCTTTGAACAAATAATGCAGATTTTTGTCCAATACAGACAGAAAATCTCAATCTCAGTTAAAATTTATTCTGAGAGAATTAGTTCTTTCAGCCCGCCAAAAAAAGAAAAAAAGAAAAAAGAAACATTTGTTACATTTTTTAATATATGTATCTACAAAGACTTTTGTGCCAAATACTACTACTATTTTCTTTGCCATTTGGGCATGCATATCTATGCTGTCACCATCTTACATATATAAATTTTCAATTCAATCCAATTCAGTTCTGTCAATTCAATTCACAGCCTATTTAACAAAATCAATTCCAACAAACCACAATGCACATTTCTGTGTAGACCCAATAATATCACATACTAACTAGCATTATGCACTTAATGTTAGCAAGATACTGACTTTCCCAGATCGTGTGCTCTTGTTCAATGGCTTTTATTTGTTTCTGCTTTTAAAAACGGACTGTGTATTTTGGTTCTTTCAACTGAATATGGAACACTATTACAAACCCTAGAGATGGGAGTACCTCAGAAACATTACCCGATAGGTGCAGTAATACAAATCAGATGTTCCCTTCTTAAACCAACTGCAATATTGTTGTGGAAAAGAGAATTAAAAGTGGGGAGGGTAAGGGTTCTTGTTTTTAGGGCTGGTTGAGTTTCAGAGCACCACAACAGAAATATTTTCAATTCCCTGAGATGACTATTTTGCACAGCCTTTTTTTGACAGATATAGAAAAAAGCATTCCAGCATCACTAGGCTATTCAAAGTAAAAGGATTTCAAGTGGAGGCCCAATGTAATGGGTTCAGTGAATAGTAATGGCTCCTATCTGGAGGACCAGCTAATACAATATCAAGAGTGGGGAGGGGGAAATTAACCAGAATATTTATGGAACTGAGGAAGACCTAATCTCAAACAAAAATTGCCACAGTGTGCAAGAGAGAAAAATTAGAAGCGATAAAATATAAAAGGTTGGGAAAAATATGAAGTAAGTTATACACTATCTTGGTAATTTTTCTGAGAAAATATTTAAAATATTGCAAAAAATCTAGCTTTGAAATGAGCAATTATCATTAGAAGAGCAAAGCATTCTAAATTTCAAAAATGTACTTACTAGCAATGCCTTCCATGTCATTTCTGCTCACTTTGCAAGCCAAAATGTATTTTCAGAATCCTAACCTTAACAAATTTACCACTGCACATGAAAGCTAAGAGGTACTCTCTGACATCATGCTACTATGAGTAAGAGATACCAGAGTTAGGTTTTTGGTCCTGATCATGCAATGGACAGGGCACACAGAGGCTACTGTGCCAATAAAGAGCACCCGCTGATTTTTTCTTAACAGCAGTCCATCCAATTAGAGGGTGAAAGCCTGAGATGGCTATTTCATTCCTAAAGCAAAACCAGAATTCAGCTCATTGCCAACACAACACAATGAGCATGTTTATTTCCATTATGCAGATAACTCTTGAGTTCACCCATATTCCTATGGGTACTTTTCTGATCATAACCATGTCCCAGAAAGTAAAGTAAATCCACCTACCCATCTATAAGCCCTTGCTGCAAAATAAGTCGCTGAGCTTCATCCCTCGAGATCTTATGGTGAAACCATGGCTGTGATCTGTGTATAGCTGGAGAAATAATAAATGTTTAATGATCTTTGTTTTCACAATATTGTTATATCACACACATCACTGTATCTCTCCTGGGGCTGCACATTAATTCACACATACCAATATTTGGTGTGGCAGTTTGAGAGGCAGAAGGACTACCGTGTGCATTGAGTCGTAAACACCCTTTTCTCTGAGTTGAAAAGAAAACAAAACATGGTTTCAAGCTTTTTTTTTTTTTAAGCAATAATAGATGAAATGCTTTCAAAAACCAAAAGTCTTCATACCCGCCATGCTAACCCTTCTTCAACTGCAACAGAAAGTGCTTCTGTTGGATTTTCTATAACTCTGCTTCTATGTCCTGAGAAGTCCATTGCGACTAGAGAATTTTCTGAAATACTTCTCTGCAATGAAGAAAAAAAAAATTCAATGTTTTTTCCTTACCACGCCCCCCAAAGCACTGATAGCACAGTCACCCAACTTTTTATCTGCTTGTAATCTGAAAAACAACTACAAAGATATTTAAGTAAAATAGCCTATTAGGTAGAGGAATGCTAAGGGTCCCTAGCAAGAACTAAATTTCCAGAAAATTCTGGGACTCATGAGGAATTGGGACTTTACTGATGAAAGGGAAAGGGGGCTACCTGTGGGGTGACTGGGGTCTTTAGATTTTCCTGGGCTTTGGAGAAGTCCAGTTCCCCACAGCCAGGGCTGGCAG